CTAAGAGCCTGTTGGAGGCCTCAGCCCCGTTGGTTTCGCCGGGGGCTACGTAGTTCTCCTCAAGGGTTTTGGATTGGGCTCGGGTGGTCCTTCCCATTTTTGGTGAGGGTTCGTGTTTGGTAGAGGGGGAGGGTTTCTTACTTGATAGTTCAGACCTCTCAACGAGAGCACCAAATGATGGATGGTCTACCCGGGGGGTATCTAATCCGAGGGGTTATCGCGGAAATAACTAGAGAGAAGTCAGAGCAAATAGGAGGAGAGAGAGTTGATTTTATTAAATGAACTCAGCGTGGAGTTGAGACGCAGATTGTCTCCATTACAAGGAGAAACGGGCTGCTATTTATAGCAGCAATAAATGCGATGAGAGGACACGTGTCAGTAATCCAACGGCCGAAGGGTCACATCAGCCTAGTGGCACCGGCAGTGGTACGTCAACCGCATTGAATGCGGTTGGCGGATGCGACGCGGCATTAAATGCGGTGGTTGGCTGTCTCTAAAAGGAATCTTCGATGATTGAGCTAGTTCAGCCGTAGGCTTCTTGCGTAGCCGAGGCCTCCTTGTTAGCCGAAGGCTTGGTTGAGCCGAGGGATTCCCCTGGTGCCGAGGGCTCCATAGTGCCGAGGGCTCATAGTGCCGAGGGCTCCTGTTTTCTGTCAATTTCTCCCAGTAGCTTCGCATGGTCGAATATGGCGGTCCTGTGAGTTCTGGAGCCTTCGGACAAGGTGGCCGAAGGCATTCCTGTGTGTACCGTGGCCTTCTTGACGCTTGGGCCGCCGAATCTTGGGCCTCCTGAGCTCCTTGAGCTTGTTGGGCTTGTGATAGATTAGTGGGAGTCTTTGGGCCGGGGGTTCCTGGGCCATATACTCCATCATTCATAAAACGTGAAATTATATTACATTTTTCATATGTGTGGGTTATGTTTATAGACAATTTCAGGAATTACATTTAATAGTATATGAACTTACATCTTACTGTGCACGAATTATATCTTAATGTACGCGAGTTACATCTTAATATACGCGATTTACATCTAAATGTATGCGAGTTACACTACGGAATAAACTCCTGCTATATCATTTTTATAGCCTAATATTAAAAATAAAACATATTCACTATTTAGAAAAAGTAATTGGGCTATTGGGATCAATTTTTCATTGTTTACATTGAAATCAATGTTTCTAATACACACACATATTATTCTCAAAACAAAAAAAAAATCATTGTTCAATTTTCCAACAAGTTACATTCTGTATACACCTAAGTTACACTTGCCATCAACGCGAGTTACATTTATAATAACACGAGTTACATTAAAAAATCAACCCCTGCTATTGAAACAAAAAAAAACAGATCTTTTCTTGAAAATTATTTTTTAGGGCCATGGTATTAAAAACAAAACATATTCACGTGTTACCTAAAACAATTGTGCAATTAGACTCTCTTTTTCATCCAAAAAAAAATTAGACTCTCTTTTTTCATTGTTTACATTGAAATCAATATTTTATTTCTTATACTATGTATTTGACAAGTTACATTTCGAAAGGGCTTGAGTTACATTGATCAATAACGCGAATTACATATCTTCACACGTGAGTTACATCATTCATGCTACTGAAACAAAAAGAAAAAACAGTTACTGTACACGCGTGTACGGTTCACGCTTGTACTGTTCACGCGTTTTTTTATTTAAATTGTGCAAAACTACGTCGTTTTGGGAGTGGAGCATGATGCTCATGATGGGCCGGTTGCACCGTATACGAACTGGAGATGGGGAGTTATTTTCTTTTTAAATGAATGAAAAGAGTATATATGTAATACACATAAATGATGAAATATAATTAAGGAAAATATACTTATGATTATGGGTGGGAAAAACCGAAACGAAACCTGAAAACCGACCCTGACCTGGCCCGAATTATGATCCTGGTTCGGGTTTTTCTTTTTAACCGACCTGAATAAAAAAAGACCGGACCAAACCCGAAATTTCGGGCTCATTAACGGGCCCTAAAATCTATAACCCGACCCAAACCGATAAAAACCTGAAACAATTAGCTTTAATATAAAATCAATATAATATATGAATATAATTTTTAAATTAATTCCTAATATATGATTATAATTATGATGGATGAAAAAATGACTTAGAAACTTTTAGTGACTACAAATATGTTAAATTTATTTACTATAATGACCATAAAAAATAAAAAATAAAAACAAATAAAAAAATTATTTTCCATCATTTGCAATGGAGCCAAAGTTTACCTATTTTTTGCTTGGAAATATCACGGAATAAAGAAAAATGGCTCTGTAAACTGTTTGCGTTTCTTTGTTATGAAGCAGCAATCAGTCCAGACAATTTTCGACGTGCTTTTCACCATGGGTCATCCGAAAACAATCTCCCTGTACTTTAGTACAATGGCAAGGCTGCGTATATTCGATCTCCTTTACCTCACCGTAGGTGGAAACCTTTGTGGCGCTGGGGTAATGATGATGAATGAATGACCATAAAAATATATTTATAGTAACTTTAGTCACATTTTTATCCATAAATTTTATTTTGTAACATTTTTAGAAAACCTATATTATTTATTTATATGTATATTAAACAAAATATTGTGATAATTATCTTCTTTAGATTTGAATTGTTGATGATTTTGAAAACTAATATTTGTGTTATTATTTGCGGTTTGTACTTTTGATTAATTTTATTTTTACTTTTGGAAGAAGGGGGCTTAAATTGATATCACAACATTAGCATTCAGACACGGAGTTAAACGACAAAAGGACCACAGACAACCGCTAGTCCTCGAACCAGACTTAGGACACGTTTACTTCACGGGTTACTAAACGGTGCTTATTAAGACCCGCGTTAATAAGCGGCACATAAAATAAGCAGCGTTGTAAGATCGTGTTTACTTCAAAGGGTTGAAAACACCGTTTAACATTAAAATGTCCAAAATAACCCTATACATATATAGACACACAAACATTCATGAACACAAGTATATAATATAATATGTGAGGTCACCTCGTACGTGTACCCATACCCCCATCCCTAACCCCCTACCCTACTCCTACCCCTACCCTACCCTCAACCCCACCTCTACCCGACCCCGACCCCCACCCTACGCTGTCTAACCCCACCCTAACCCCTACCCTCCTACCCTGACCCCGACCCCGCCCTACCCACACCCTTACCCCTAACCACGACCCAACCCCACTCCTTGCGCCACTTGCCCCTACCTCGGCCCCACCACGATCCCACCCCCTACCATACCCCTACCTCGGCCCCACCCCTAACCCGCGTAGGGTGGGGTCAGGGGTGGGACCGTGGTAGGGGATAGGGGTAGGGGTAGGAGCCCAGGTGGGTGGGGTGGGGGCGATGTGGTAAGGTGTAGGGTGGTAAAGGGCCTAGGGGTAAGGGGTAGGGTAAAGGGGTTGGTAAGGGAGGGGTGGGGTGGGGGCGAGGTAAGGTAGGGTAGGGTGGGGCCGATGTGGTAGGGGTGGGGTGTGGTGGCCGGTGTGGTAGGGTGTCGGGGTAGGGTTGGTAAGGGTGGGGTGGGGGTCAGGGTAAGGTAGGGTTAGGGGAGGGGTAGGATATGGTGGAGTCGAGGTGAGGCCGATGTGGTAGGGTTGGGGTAGGGTGGTGGGGTCGGGGTCGGGGTAAGGTAGGGGTAGGAGTAGGGGTGGGGTCGGGTCGATGTGTTAGGGGGGTGGGGTGGTAGGGTAAGGGTAGTGTAGAGGGTGGGGTCGGAGTCGGGGGTATAAGGGTGAGCGGGTGGGGCCGAGGTAGGGGTAGGGATGGCCGGGGGGTGGGGTAGGATCGGTGTAGGGAAAAGGGGGTGGGGTAGGGTAATGGTCGAGTAGGGTAGGGGTAAGCACGAGGATGGGAGGGTGGGGTCGGGGTGGGGTGGGGTATTTGGTATAGGGGTAAATTCGGAAACTAAAAAGCTTAAAGTGACGCTTAATTAATACATGGGCAAGGGGTAAATTCGAAAACTAAAAAGCTTAAAATGCCACTTAATTAATACATGGGAGGTGGTATGCTTAGTAAGCGGCACTTTAAGCATCTCTTTCGGTTAGTTAGCAGTTTTTTAAGCAGCATGCGTGTTTACTTCACCTGTCTTACTAACCTAACTGTGACTTTAGCAGCGAAGTAAACATATCCTTAGAGTCAATCACCTTCAAAAGAACAATATAACTTGATGATCCTATAATGGGCATAAATGAGCCAAAGACGGTTAAAGCAGACATCTCATCACTCAATCCTAATGCAAGAGTCTTACAATAATAAAAGTAATCAACAGATAAATAAGCAGTTTGATCATAAAAAATAAATCGCAAGCAAACAATAAAATTAAAAATATGCTTCCAAATCTTAGACTATCTTGCACTCCATGGTGGCGGTTCAGGAGGGGGATGGATGATCAAGCATTATTGTAGCTTCTTCCTCACCTTGCCTCTTCTAGCTTCATCATGTTTTCTATCAAGCCTCTTCTATCGCAACCTAACACAGATGACCTCGAATCTAGATCTGTTCCAGACTCTAGCCCCACACTTCGTCCATGATCTTTGGACGTCAGAGACCAAACATCCATCTTTTGTCCCTGCACAACCTTCGGCCACCTGAGACCAAGCATCATCTTCCCTCCGCTTAATCTTGCCAAAGCAAAAGAAGAAAAATCGCCACCCAATTGATGACGGAAGGAGAAACCCTGTACGCCTAAGCCCGCTTACGCAGGCCGCTCCTCGTTAAAAACGATAGCGGAGAAAAAAACCTAGCGGTGGAAAACCACCCTAGAGAGAGAAAGAGCTGAAGCAAATAATAAAATCTTCTTTTAATACACGATAATCCCTAAGTGAAGGTACTTTTAATAAATCCTTCTTGATGAATACCCGGCCTGTTATTCTGTTCTTTCTCGGAGCCTAAAAGTCTAAAGCTGCCGATTTTACTTTCCAATAAAATTCATTAAAAAAAAAGATGTCACACCATCCCTGAGGGCCCCCCAACACCGACCGGGCTCTTTCTTTTATTACTTTTATTTGTTTGATTAATTTTATTTGTTTGATTAATTTTATTTGAAAACAGGTTTTAAAATATAAAAGGAATATGAGATGATTTCACATTCGGGCTTTAACCGGTCCAACCCGAATCCGGTTCGAACCCGGGCTACAAAAAACCCGACTCAGACAGAATATAATGGGCTTTGTTCTGGTCCCTAATTTTCATAACCCGAGACCTTACGGGTAATTTCCGGATTTAGCATAAACTCGACCCAGATCGGACCGATCCCACCCCTATTTATGACTCGTACTTGGTATGAATAATGTTTTGGGAGAGTAATGAAAAAAAAATATTACAACATGAAATGTGTACTCTATACATTTCGAAAGACTTCTTTATAAACAACATTGATAGTATGGTCGATTTGTTCCCCATTTTCACCGCAAATCAGTATCTTCAAACCCTTACGATTTGTTACTCTCAATACTGCAACATAAAGTTGACCATGTGTAAACACTTGCTTTTTTTAATAAGAGGCCAACATGCGACAAAGATTGACCTTGACTTTTATTTATTGTCATCTCATAAGAGGTAATGACAAAAATTGTCTTCTTGAAACTTGAACGGTATTCTTGAATCAGGTAGAGTCAAATTTAACCTTGGAATGACAACTTCATATCCAGCATATTCCCCCCTAGAATTTTTGCTCCAATGATGTGATTCCCAAAGTCGTGTAACAATCAACCTCGTTCCATTGCATAGCCCCATAGAAGGATCAATATGTATATCTCAGAAGCATTATTGGAGTATCGAGTTTAGGGATTAACTTGTGGTTCAGAACTCATGATGCACAAATTTTATTGAGAAATTTCTGGAGTGTGCAAACCAGCCAAGAAATCAGCATTTGAGTCTGACTTGCGGAAGCTATCAGAACTCAAATATGTCTTTGACTCTTTCTTAACATTCAGAGATGTCATGTATTCATTAATTTGATCCACGACATCAAGAGTTGGAGCTAAAATTGCACGTTCTTGCAAGTATGATGGGTCATTAGCAATATTATCAAAGTCCGGATAGGTGCTTTTCACAATAGTGGCAATTACATCCTCTCCACTCTCTAACAGAATGCCGCTTGGATTATTAACATCGGCAAATCCATCATTATCTTTGCATGCAATACCATCCCCTAAATTGGCAATCCACTTCGCAAACTCTATCAAATCTTCATATTTATGATCTTCACTTAGTGATTGCAGCCTCATGTCCTTCGTCAAACGTAACAAATGCACTCATGTCAAATACATGAAGAGGTTGTGGCATTTACTATGTCTTGTCTAGTACCCTTTGTAATGACTGGTAAAATTTGTCTAAAATCTCCTCCATAGTGTGTTGTGGTTTCGAATTGTGTAGATGATCCTATTTATAAGGGATAACAAACTCTAGTCTTGGTTTTCTTTGCATTGAGTATGTAATATCCAGTGAATAATAGCCTGAATCGGCTGGGCGAGGGTGCGATATTAACATCTGGAGTGACCCTTGGCTCCCAAACAAGAGTAATCCGAGGGTGATTTCAGCTCCAGTTCTGGGTTTGGAATCGGCTAAGGTGGATAGCTTGCGGGTGGAAGATGGGACCAGGTGGGACGTCGATCTCCTTCGTGACCTGTTTGATCATCGGGATGTACAGATTATCCAGGGGATTCCAATCAGTCACAGGGATGTTCCGGACAGAATTTGTTGGAGATGGGAAGATTCTGGGCGCTTTTCAGTTCGTAGCTGTTATAGGGCTTTGGTTGGTGACGAGCAGATGGGTCCTTGGACGGGATGGTCTGCGATGTGGGGGTGGATGCTTCCCCCAAAAATAAAGAATTTTTTCTGGCAGTTGTGTTGTGGTTTTCTGCCTACTACAACAAATCTCAGGATGAGGAGAGTCAACTGTGATGAAAAGTGTGGACTGTGTGGAGGGGCCGAGGAATCGCTGCAGCATGTGTTCCGTTTGTGCTCAGTTGCTCGTGAAGCTTGGAGGGCAGTGAGGTGGGAGTGGTCTTCTGGTTCGGTTTCCAGCTTTATGGAGCAGCTGCAATTGGAATTTCAAGCCAAAAGTGAAAAGGATTTGTGCAAATTGATCTGGGGTTGTTGGGGTTTGTGGTGTGAGAGGAATGGCCGGGTTTGGAATGGAGTTTTGACTGATGCAAAATTCCTATTGTTGAAGTCAAAAATTTATGTTGACAGTTGGATTCAAGCACAGCAACAAGGGAGGAAGCATGCAGTTCCTGAGCCGAAGGGGGTGATGCTCTGGAAACGACCAAGACCGGGGTGGGTAAAACTGAATGTAGATGCTTCGGTTAAGGATAATGGTGTCGGGTTGGGATGGCTTCTCCGTAATGAGGATGGTGTGTTCATGGCGGGTGTTGCAAAACCTTGGCAGGGGGTGCTGCCTCCATGGGAAGCTGAACTTATAGGTATTCGGGAAGCTCTCAGTTGGACGAAAGAGTATGGATGCGAGCGGATTGAAGTTGAATCTGATGCGGCTAAGGCAATTTCAGAAATCCGGGATGGCTCGAGTGTTTCTATTGCTGGGATTTTGGCGGATGATATTAGAGAACTTCGGTCTTATTTTACTGAGATTTCATTTTCTCATGTTAGGCGATCAGCGAACAGGGCGGCTCACGTTTTGGCGCAAGCAGCTTGTTCTATGTCTGATAGCATTTGTTGGCTTGATCTTCCTCCTTCATTTATTTCACATGTATTAAACAATGATGCTATTAATAATAGTTAATTATATTTTCTTCAAAAAAAAAAATAGCCTGAATCATTCACCTACCTCATTTATTGTTGTTGTAAAATCAAAGATGTTTTACAGTTGAAGAAATTTTATGCATTTAATGTATTTTAACCACATAAGCAAGATACTTCCGCTTGGGAATAGAAATCAAAGCTGTAAAGTGCAAGACTAAAATCTAAATAATGCTTGGGAATAGAAATTTGTTGCTTGGAAATCGTTATTCACTAAATGGTAATCTCTCACAGATCTTGGTACTTCATAAATCACAAAAATTTGAAAGAAAAAAAAAAAGAAATTCCCTCAATAAATGTGGACACAGACTGTGCAGACCCAGGCTCGTATTGGGCGACTCTTTTTTGTCCTGGTAAAATTGGCGGGAAAAGTGTTGTTGTTCCACTCCGGTTTGTATATAGTAGGATGACTGGATGAGGGAGTTATTATTTTTATTAATAACAAACATGAAGTATATAGTGTTTCCTACAATTTCAAAAAAGTTAATTAAACTCCTCGACTAAAAGAACATCCAATCACACCCATTAGTGCATTTGAAATTTTCAAATCTTTTTTTAGCCAGTTTAATGACCGATTAGCAGTTGATATAAGCATTTGGCCTTCGATGTGACGCTTATTATACATGTAAGTGCTGACTAAGGTAGATATAATGTATAATAGCTTAACGGTGTCTTCATCCCAAAATCCCAACTAACCCCATTTTTTATCAATTTGCAGAGATTAGAAGTAGAGTGTACCGAACAATGGTAGATGAGCACGTAGGATCAGAACAAGGCTCGAAGCATATGAAAGTGAAATTATTATCTACACTTTAACGCATAAGATAGTACTTGAACTACCCTACATATGTTGTCTTCCTCTTAAAGGTCAGTAGACAGGTTTGGTGTGTGCAACCTATTTTGTGTTCACGTAATAATTTGATATTTGTTTTTATTCAAACTTTGGGTGTACATTGAACGGTATTTACCAACAGGATGTTTGAACAAGTGGAACTTATCATTCACCATTGAGGGAATTTCGTTTACAATCCTAAGTGTGTACAAGGGTGGTGAAGTAGATAATGTACACATCGGTCCAGATTTAACTTGCTACCCATGTGTCATGACATTTTTGAAGGATGGTACTTATGGAAAAATCAATGGACTCTATTTTAAGAAACCTAATTTAAGGACCCTATGGGGAGTTTAGACGAGCTGTTTAGAGGAGTCCTCCTTACATTTAATTGATGTTACCAAAAGTTGTGGGCAACATGACATCTTTGTAGAGCATGGATTAGATGACGTGGAGTTGGTTGAAATCCCCCTTTACGTGCACTAGCTACTGAAGAAACACAAAATGAGAGGGACATTAGAGGTTTAAATGAAGAGATAAACCAAGAGCCCAGTGAAAGGGAAGAGCACGTGTCTATTGAAGAGGATGATCGTGAAAGTGAAGAGAGTGAAGAGGATGTATGTGAAGGGGAATCTAATAATGCAGAGGAGGTTAGGGTGCAAAAAATGAGGACCGGGAAGATATACTGCAGGATGCAACTTTCCATTCATACGACCACGAACAAGAAGATATACTCCAGGATGCACGTTTGCCCTTGATTTCTTTTTTAGCTTTTGATCAAAGTCTTTTTGGATGTCTTGATGTTGAGTCTAATGATGAAGTGGGTATGACATCCCTTCACTCCGGGTATTTAGGCGGGGAATGAGAAATATCTTGCCCATCTGCGGCCATGCCATACTTCAAAATTCATCCATTTTTCCTTATAGGCCGCACACCCTTATACTCAAGAAGTGGTTACTAATTAAAGCAAAGCAATGAAACATAGATTTTTTTAGAAGAGGTGAATAGTTATCTTTTTAAACCAATTTTGCCAAAAGAAGAACATAAGTTCAACATCTCTATACAATATTTAACAACTGCAAAAAAATCCAAAAATTAAAAAAACAATTTCCAAATTATAACTTGAGAGCTGTTTAGAGAACTAAATACTTTCTTCGTTCTCTTTTAGTTGCAACATTCCCATGTTCACACTTACCGATGCACAACTTTAATCGTCATTAAATTTAATACTTAGTAATGAAAGTTTAAAAGTCAGATTACGGTAATGACACGAATTCAACAATATTTGCTCACTCGTTGCACGCTAGTTGCACGTGGCGTGCATCAATGTCAATTTTATTTAAATTTAAAACGTTATTGTTTTAGAACCGAATGTTGTATATATAGGATAGCTTTGTTAATAATAAGCTTGTAAAGTTGCAGCATAAAATGATCATAAATTAGATGAGAAGAGCTCAATCGAAAATGTCCATATTTGTACTCCTCATTACTCATTAGTTATTACGAATATGTATCATGTGGATAACAATTTACTGATTATGATTTGGATGCTTATGGAGATTGCAATGTATTTTTAATAATAACCAGTTTAAGTTTGTAGCTTAACATGAAAGATCATCAAATGAGTGGCTTCTTCTTCCTCCTCCCACCTTCTTCTTTCACTCATTGGTCAGAAAATATGTCAGACATACATACAAACATGATACAAAAACGCATACATACATGATATATACATACATGATAAATCAGCCCGTGGGTAAGTGGATAACAATTAACTAATTATGGTTTGGGTGTCTATGGGACTACGTATCATCATCAGCATCACCATCATCTTCATCTAATAAGCTAAGTATCATCATTATCATCTTCATTTTATAATAATAAAAAAAGATAATGCAGCCTTGATTAGTTGATTGTGATGCATTGTTGGCGACTCTTGTCCATCTGTCCCTATATGATGACAGCTTCTTAGCCTTGATTTTCTTTATTTGACATATTGCAGAACCCATTTTGCTAATCAAAAATAGAAAATTTTGTTAAAGAATGAAGAGCTTCCTGTTACTTCTTTAGAACTGCAACAGATTTATAATTATTAAGAGGTTTAGTAGGTTTAGAGCTCAGGATCATTAAGTCTATTTTTAGAAATATTTGAAATGAAACGGATTTGGATGGGTTCATAGAAGTATAGGACTGTATAATCTAAAACCTATAAAAAGGATAAGAGCTGTAATTTAACAACCGACTGCCACAAGCTGATCGGGAAGCACACATAAGATGACACAAGCTGATCTGGAAGCACACATAAGATGACACAAGCTGATCTGGAAGCACACATAAGATGACACAAGCTGATCTGGAAGCACACATAATATGACACAAGCTGATCTGGAAGCACACATAATATGACACAAGCTGATCTGGAAGCACACATAATATGACACAAGCTGATTTGGAAGCACACATAAGATGACTCTGGTCCATGTGTCCTAATACTAACTAAATATGATGACATATTTGATTTCTTTTTTTTTGACATATTGCTAATGATAGATACAGCCGTTTTCTTAATAATGAAGTGCTTCCATTATCTGTCTAGAACTGCAGCAGACTTCAGAACTATTCAGAGAATTTTTCCATGTTCTCTATGTTTAGTTTTTTGCATCATGAAAGCGCCGGTAGAAATCATTTTCAAGCTCCTCACCTTTCTCTTCTTCTTCCCCTACTTCTTCTTGCTATTTTTTCTTGGAAGGGTTAAAGGTATTTGCTCTTTTTACATTCTAAACTATTAGATTATTTATATATTCCCATTTTACTTTTGTATGTATGCATGTATGCATTTTGGTTGTAGCTTGCTTATGTGTTTTTTTGTGGGATAGATTATTAAAAGGCAGCTGGATATAGGTCATGGAAGCACATAAATTGTTGAGGGGTTTTCAAATAAATATGACTAGAGAAACAATACACTTCAGATAAGATTATACAAAGTCATTTTTAATACTTTGTATATCACTAACACACCACCACTGTCCATGATTCTGCCCATGTGACCAGCGGCAACAATTTACTAATTATAGATCTACGTATCATCATCATCTCATAAGCTAAGTATCATCATTATCATCTTTATTTTATGAAAATAAAAAAATTAAAAAGATAATGTCTAACCAACGACACTAGCTGATTGTGATGCATAGTTGGCAACTCTTGTCCATCTTTCCCTATATGATGACAGCTTCTCAGCCTTGATTTCCTTTATTTGACATATTGCATAACCCATTTTGCTAATTAAAGATTGAAAATTTTGTTAAAAAAGCAGAGCTTCCTGTTATTTGTTTAGAACTGCAAAGGATTCAGAATTATTAAAAGAGGTTTTTGTTGTTTTATACTCGAGATTTTTATCATGAAAGTGCCTGCAGAACTCATTTTCAAGCTCCTTAGATTTCTCTTCTTCTTTCCCTGCTTCTTTTTTATCTTTTTTCTAGGCTGTGTTAAAGGTATTCACTCTGTTTTACATCCTAAACCACTAGTTAATTTATTTTATTTCCATTTTTGCTTTTTATGTATATATTGTTGTTGCAGCTTGATGTGATTTTCTGTAGGATGGATTATTAATAGGACGGTTGCATTCAGGGACAGCTCTCTTAAGGGAAAGTTAGAGAAAATCTCAACTACTTTTCCAAAAAATTAAATGTCAATTTTAATACTTTTATATCACTTCGAGCGATGCTGCGAATGACAAGCCCCGTCAATGACACCCCCCAAAGTGTTAACGTAACTGGTGGTAGCAGTTTCCGGGACCCGCAAAAGAATTCCGGCATCAGTGACTGTTCAGCTGGCGGAGGGAGGCTGAGCGATGGCTAGGAGGTCGATGGGTGAGAAACAGAGAGAGAAGATTGAAATAGGTTTAGAGCTTAGGATCATCAAGTCTATTTTTAGAAATATTTGAAATGAAACAGATTTGGATGAGTTCATACTTCATAGAAGTATAGAACTATGTACTCCGTATAATCTAAAACAATATTATAAAAAGGATAAGAGCTGTAATTTAACAACCGACTGACACAAGCTGATCTGGAAGCACACATAATATGACACAAGATGATCTGGAAGCACACATAATATGACACAAGATGATCTGGAAGCACACATAATATGACACAAGCTGATCTGGAAGCACACATAAAATGACACAAGCTGATCTGGAAGCACACATAATGACACAAGCTGATCTGGAAGCACACATAAAATGACTCTGGTCCATGTGTCCTCATGCTAACTAAATATGATGACATATTTGATTTTTTTTTACATTGCTAATGATAGATACAGCCGTTTTCTTAATAATGAAGTGCTTCATTATCTGTCTAGAAGTGCAGCAGACTTCAGAATTATTCAAAGATTTTTTTCAAGTTCTCTATGTTTAGTTTTTGCATCATGAAAGCGCTGGTAGACATCATTTTCAAGCTCCTTAGCTTTCTCTTCTTCTTCCCCAACTTTTTCTTGCTATTTTTTCTTGGCTGTGTTAAAGGTATTCACTCTGTTTTACATACTAAACCATTAGTTTATTTATTTTATTTCCATTTTTCCTTTTTATGTATATATTTCTGTTGCATATACATGTAGAGACATTAATTGTCTATCAGACTATCAGGGATTCAGGGGCAGCTTTCACACCCTTAAGGGAAAGTTAATGAAAATCTTCACTACTTTACAAAAATTTTCAAAGTGAATGTCACTTTTAATACTTTTTATATCAATTTGAGCGAAACTGCGAATGACACATCCCGTCAATGACACCGCCCCAGCTGTTAACGTAACTGGTGGTGGCAGTTTCCAGGGACTCGCAAAAGAATTCTGACATCAGTGACTGCTCAGCTGACGGAGGGAGGCTGAGCGATGGCTAGGAGGTTGATGGGTGAGAAAGAAAGAAAAAAGATTGGAATAGGTTTAGAGCTTAGGGATCATTAAGTCTATTTTTAGAAATATTTGAAATGAAGCAGAGTTGGATGAGTTCATGGAAATGTAGAACTATGTATAATCTAATACCAATATATTATAAAAAAGATAAGAGCTGTAATTTAACAACCGACTGACACAAGCTGATCTGGAACTCTGGAAGAACACATGAGATGACACAAGCTGATCTGGAAGCACACATAGGAGGACACGAGCTGATCTGGAAGCACAAATAGGACACGAGCTGATCTGGAAGCACACTGCACACATAATATGATTCTGGTCCATGTGGCCTAAGACTAACTAAATATGATGACATATTTGATTTTCGTTTTTTCACATATTGCTAATTATAGATGGAGCCGTTTTCTTATTAATGAAGTGCTTCCATTATCTGTTTAGAACTGCAGCAGACTTCAGAATTATTCAGAGATTTTTCTCATGTTCTCTATGTTTAGTTTTTGCATCATGAATGCGCCCGTAGAAATCATTTTCAAGCTCCTCACCTTTCTCTTCTTCTTCCCCTACTTCTTGCTATTTTTTTCTTGGCTGTGTTAAAGGTATTCACTCTGTTTTACATACTAAACCATTAGTTAATTTAATTTAGGTAGTTTCTATGGTACCCATAAGGTATCATACCTTTGTCCACATGGACCAATGAAAATGTAGTAGTTGAATTATTTAAATCTAAATTAATAATGATAAAGTGATGTGATCCAATCAAATGAATGGTAGGTACGGTACCCCATTTTTTAGAAGGGTACCAGAGTTGTCACCTTTATTTTATTTCAATGTTTCCTTTTTATGAATATATTTTTGTTGCATATACAAGTAGAGACATTAATTGTCTATCAGGGATTCAGGGGCAGCTTTCACACCCTAAAGGGGAAGTTAAAGAAAAGTAGAAAACCTTAACTACTTTACAAAAAATTAAAGAGCGACTATAAATGTCACTTTTAATACTTTTTATATCACTTCGAGCGAAACTGCGAATGGCAAATCCCGTCAATGACACTGCCCCAGATGTTAACGTAACCGGTGGTGGCAGTTTCCATTTTCTAAGGACTCGCAAAAGAATTCCGACATCAGTGACTGCTCAGCTGGCGGAGGGAGGCTGAGCGATGGCTAGGACTTGATGGGTGAGAAACAAAGAAAGGAGATTTAAATAGGTTTAGAGCTTAGGATCATTAAGTCTATTTTTGGAAATATTTAAAATAAACCAGATTTGGATGAGTTCATAGATGTGTGGAACTATGTATAATCTAATAACAATAATAGGATAAGAGCTGTAATTTTACAACCGACTGACACAAGCTGATCTGGAAGCACACATAAGATGACACAAGCTGATCTGGAAGCACACATAATATGACACAAGCTGATCTGGAAGCACACATAATATGACACAAGCTGATCTGGATTCTGAAAGCACACATAAGATGACTCTGGTCCATGTGTCCTAATACTAACTAAATATGATGACATATTGCTAATGATAGATAGAGCCGTATTCTTAATAATGAAGTGCTTCCAGCTTCCATTATCTGTTTAGGACTGCAACAGACTTCATACTTAATCAGAATTTCAGAGATCTTTTCATGTTTTCTATGTTAAGTTTTTTGCATCATGAAAGCGCCAGTAGAAATCATTTCCAAGCTCCTTAGCTTTCTCTTCTTCTTCCCCTTCTTCTTCTTGCTATTTTTTCTTGGCTGTGTTAAAGGTATTTACTCATTCTGCATTCTAAACCATTAATTTATTGAACTATTCCCATTATACTTTTGTATATATATATATTTCTTGGTCAAAGCTTGCTTATGTGCTTTTTTGTGGTATGGATTATCAAAGGCTGCTGGATATAGGTCACAGGAAGCACATAAAATGTTGAGGGGTTGTCAAATAAATATGACTAGAGAAAAGAAAACTTTAAATAAAAAGATTATACAAGTAATTTTTAATACTTTGTCCTCCGTATCACTACGAGTAACACACCGCCACCGTTAATGATTCAGCCTTCGTGACCAGTGGCGGCAGTTTTTGGCAAAAAAATACGGCATCAGTCACCAATCGGCTGGCAGCGAACACGACAGTTAGAGGGTTGATGGGCGAGAGAGGAGCTTGGAATAGAATTAGAGCTTAGGATCATACAGTTCCTTTTCTTTTTAAAAATACCTCTATTAGAACTGGAGAAGTTATATTTTTTCATTCTGCTTTTAATTTTATTTTTGCAGGTTTAGTCATTGGTACCATTCTATCAGGTATCATTGGTGTTGGAAATTCAGCTGTTGTAATTGGACTTTGGCCAGCTCATTTTGTTTGGACATACTTGTGTGTGGCAAAGTATGTTTTCTCCCCCTCTAATACAACATTCTTGCATCTGCTAGAGTACTAATATTGTTTATTGCTTGAACTTGAACTGAAATATTTTGTTTTTATTGGTCATTTTTTACTTTGGTATCTGGTACTAAATATGAAGGAGCAAAAGGCTTGGATGTGTTCTAAAGAGTACAGTTCTGGTGTTATTGCCACTACCTTTGATTCTTTGGCCAATCATGGCGATTCTTGGAAGCCTTTTTGGTGGCTTAGGCTATGGATTCTTTGTTGCCTTAGTAGCAACATTCAAGGCCATTAACGAGGGAGTCACTCACAAAATCTATCATTGCTTTGTTGTGAGTGTTTTGTTCAATGTTCACGCCATTTTGAACATTATTTATTAAGCAATTTCTTAATTGTGATTGTTATAACACATATTTTAATAAATTTAAAAATAATAATTTGTTGGCTGAAAGGTTTTATCCCATAAAATAATATCACAAGTAATGAAGGGTAAATACTCAAATTAGGACCTCCTCACCCCCACTTATTTCAGTTCAGACCCAATTAGATCATATTCCACACTTAAACAAAACATACCAACAAATCATAAAAGACAATACTAGCCTTCAATGATATAAAATACACACAATATCAAACCTTACATGTTCATAGCAGATCAAACTAAACATAAACAGACTAAAATAGACTTAAACATATCAAACTAGTTCAGATACAACCATATCTCCATATGAGCATGTCCTTAGAATACGCACATATACAAAAATTGACCTTTTATGTATTATGGCACCTGGACTAGCGTATAATATGCATAAAAATGCTAATCAGAATGTTATTGAAGTGGGGGGGGGGATATTCGCATTGTTTGTTCCTTGAATAAATAGAAAATGTTAAAGACCATGCAAATTTTTTCAGGATGGTACGGTGTCTACTATCAAAGAGGGCCTCACTATAGTAATGGATTTTACAGACTTTTGCTTCCACTCTTACTTCTCCTACATGGATGAACTTTGTGAGGAAGTGCATCTCGATGAGAGACTCATGGACGTAAAGTAAGAAAGATATAAGCTTGAATCTTTCCAACTATCGGTTTTTTCTTTTATGTGTTCGGATTATTTTCCCTACTATAATCACGCGTTTAGCACCTTAGAACACATTTTGTAACCCTTGTTTCTTTAGACTTACAGAATACATCTTCCGGTTTTAAAAACAGTTTTATTATGAATTCTATTTTCGATAGTCAAACATCATAGGTTACACAGAGCATCTTATTTTCCGCAAGTTACACAGAGCAACAGTTTAATTAAAAGTTAATGGTGAAGTATTATATTATGGTGTTCAGGTTGTCAAACTTGCCTACTAGTCTTCTGGTTTCTGTGCTTGCTATTATTGTGGATGTGCCCCTCATTACTGCTGTTGCTATTTGGAAGAGCCCATGTGTGTGGTTTAGGGGTTGGAAACGTATGTTAGAGGACTTGGTTGGAAGAGAAGGCCCATTCTTGGAGACTGCATGTGTCCCTTTTGCAGTTCTTGCAGTCCTTTTATGGCCTCTAGTGGTAGCGGGATTTGTTGTAGCATCCTTCGTTTCGAGCTTTTTTCTTGCAATGTATAGCGGGGTTGTTGTTCATCAGGTTTTTAAAACTTTTTATTTTTCTACTTCCTAATTCCTATTATGATTTCACATCAGTTTTTCATCATTTCATTATATGTTTATAGGAAGACTCATCTCGGTTCGGACTCGCATACATTGTGGCAGCAGTTTCATTGTTTGATGAGTACACTAACGACTTACTTGGCCTGAGAGAGGGATCATGTTTCATCAGGTAATGATTCTGTTCTTATTTTCTTTTTCCAACCACTGGTTACTCTATTATATATATACTATATATAGTGTCTTATTTTAAGGATATATTTCACAAAATTATAATCTTAGTTAATTATCTCAGTTGATCTTCAAAACTGTGGCTGAATTAGTTACATACTTACATATGTATTTCAAATAATTCTAGACAAAAAGTGAAAGTGTCATTTCCTTCCATTTGATCGATTCTCATAACAAAAGGAAGTAAGTTCGCAATTTTTTAAATTAGTCAATAGTTTTAAGTAAACAAAATCTTTCTGAGCAGAAAATTACTAATCATATGTGTGTACACAAACCAATGATTTCTCACATTGTGAACAATGTTAATAGTGTAGTATCTTTTGACATCTAGGCCTAGATACCGCAGAGACACAAGTTCTTCTAGTGAAGATGAACTCGAAAACAACTCAATTGATCATCGCAATGAAAGGGAAGAATCACGAAGTCCGAGTATGGGGTCCACACAACCGAGGCAAGCTAAGCAGAAATATACACCAATGCAGGTCCATAGGCACACACTTTTTCAATAATCGCTTGACCATGCTAAACTTTTTGTCGCTGTAGCGTTAAGTTATTTGATTACTCTGCCTGTAAGGTTGGATTTATTAAAATGAAACGTCAAATCTTAAGCATAAAACTAATCAGCTTTACTGAAACAGGTGTGGGGATGGCTTTTTAAATCGTGTGAGGTGAATGGAAGAACACTACTCCGTGAAGGTCTAATAGCTATCGAAGATATTGTGGACGGCATTGTGAAGGGAAATTCGAAAAACCTAGATGTCAAACTTCCTGCTTTCTCCATCTTACAGTGTCTTCTTGAATCAGCAAAGTCCTATTCGGTTGGCTTGGTCATTTGTAGGTGCATTGCAATTATTATTCTGTTGAGTTTGTCGAATGCAATATTTCTGAAATGTTTGCATTTTCTCGTTCTTTAGTTGATGGAGTGGAGTTAACAAAGACTAGTTGCCCGCAAGACATAATATTTGAGTGGTTTGTTGGACCACTTTTAGTCATGAAGGAGCAAATGAAGATACTTCAACTTGGAGATGAAGAGGAAGTTTGCCTAAGGAAGCTGATAATGTGTTGCCAAAACGGCAGGTCCACTGAATCGGACGATATTGGATTCTTATCCAATGACAATGTTAGAAGAGCGCAATTACTAGCGATAATGAGGAGGTTAGTTTTAAAATCCTCAACTCGGGAATTTATCTTTAAAAAATTCTTTTTTTATGCTCTTTTATCTTTTTATCTTTTATCTTTCTTATCTTCGTGTGTTATTGCTATCTTATATTTATCTTTATATTATCCATTTTATCATACTTTTTCCCTTGTCTTTCTTCTCTTTTTAGCACTCTTATCATGGATCGATTCATATTAGCCTGTTAGCCGACCCCAAATTCTTTTGGGATTAAGGCTTGGATGTTGTTGTTGTTGTTGTACCGATGAGCTAGGCCAAGGGGTCAAAACTCAGACCTTATGAACACATATGCAACGTCTTATTTATTTCTATCTGGGAACTCTTATCAATAATCCAATCAATTTACTCATTATTATCTTCTATACATGAATACATAACAGGTTGCAGGGGATTGGTAAATCAATATCACGTATGCCTACATATCGGAGGCATTTTAAGAACTTGGTGAAGCAGTTATACCATGAGGCAAAAGAGACCAGCCTTAGCAACATTGAAGAAGTTCCCAGTTCTAGCCAAGGCAGTGGCAGCAAATGCAGACATAGTAGAGAAGAAGAATCAGAGGGTGGGAATGTATGTGTGGAGAATGAGCAAGCTCTTCGGATCAATGCAAATACTGTGTGAATAAATAACCCTTTTTGAACCATTATAATGACAGTGATATTCTCAAATGAGGTGTTACAGAGTGAACTTTTGGAGAACCATATAGTATTTTGATGTGATTTATTGTTATGGTTTACCTATATTTATGGTTTTTAGACTCCATTTGTTGGAGCAAGTAACCTTTTGCCTTAATTAGTAGACTAAGGACGATTGTGCAAAAATGCGTTTTCTTTCAAAAAGTTCAAAAGTTTATTCACTTCAATCAAATAACAATCTTGGTTATTAAAAGTTTATTCAATTCAACCAAACAGACTTGCATACCATTAGTTGATGACTTGATATAATTTGCTTTCAAAAGCTTCAATGTACTCATTTCGGCCAAATAACTCTCACCAAACAAAGTCTAGATTACCATCTCATTTGCATGCTCCTTCTTATTAGTTAATACGAGTATCTACTACATCAATACTTAATTGATATTATCAAAGGGAAAATTAAGTAATATGATATGCACCAATGAGATTCCAAAAGTAACAAGAGTTCTTTCAGTTTGTAAAAATAATATATTCTCGTCCAAAAGTTATTGATCATTCCTGAGTAAGTAAAGCAATATTTAATTCATAAAAGGGAAAATGGAAACTAATAATCCAACCTTTTAGCGATCTTCTTACAATAATCCAACCTTTTGGTTATTCATGAATAATCCAACCTTTGCACCTCATCTTCATTCACTGGTCCCTGACCGGTTGATGACCTGTTATTCCAAGCTATTTTCTTATCTTTGCAAATCATTATACCATAAATCTCATCTTTCACAAAGATAATATTTTGCAAAGATAAGAAAATAACTTGGAATAGTAGGTCATTAACCGACCAGGGACCAATGAATGAAGATGGGGTGCAAAGGTTGGATTATTCATGAATAATCAAAAGGTGGGATTATTGAAAGAAGACCGCTAAAAGGTTGGATTATTAGTTTCCATTTTCCCTTCATAAAATTATGTTCTTATAAATAAAGCTCATTTACATAGTTTTCATTTTCTTCAGCCTTTTACGGAGACTATTTTTAAGGAAATGCCCGACAAAAAAAACAAATCAGACTTCAAATTCAGTTTTATTATACTACATTTAATTTATGTAAAGAACACACTTGCACTACATAATTTTAGATACACATACTCTGTGCTTTTCTCCTGCCTGTTTTCCATTGCGCCAATAGAGGTTACTTCAAATCTCAAGCAGTAGTAGCTTGTTTGGCTTCAAGCATCTTCTCATATTCCTCAATAGATCTAAAAAGCTCAGAGAAGTTACCCTTACCAAATCCTCCACAACCACCCTTCTGATAGGTCTGCCCTTCCTCCTTTATCATGCACCCAATTCTCTGGATAATTTCTATAAACATTGTCGGCCTGCACCACAACAAAGAGAAAAAAACAATTGATCTTAAGTTGTAGACTTATACATGGGACTTTCAGAAGGAGTAATCATTTTAACAACTCCCTCCATGTTTATGTGAGATAAAAAACATAAACTTTCCTTCTGTTCTACTCCTACACCAGTCACTCATCCCTTTCAATAAACTTGAAACAAAGGCATGCGATGGTACCATTAGATAGATTAAGAGCCTATTTGGTTGAGGGATTCAGCTTATTAGGAGAATAAAGAGAATAAGTAACTTTTGACCTGTTTAGATGATTTTTTTTCAACATATGGTTTTCCTTCCACAAAAATTAGCAGATTCAGTCATTTCAATTCAGCCAAATAATGCTTGCCAAATAGACTCATGTTGGTCTTTAAATATGAAGCATGCCTGTCTTAAATCCTACCCACATCATTTAATACTTCACACTCTTTAGTTCTAGTTCATTTAATATCCATGAAAGATCAGGCAAATTGGATTACCTCCAGATCTAAGCCAACTGGGACAATTTATATACTCCGTAATCAATACGAATAGTTCATATCTCCTCAAATCCAAATCCAATAGTACTTCCAGGAAACAATATGATGCAAAACTTTCCTCTTTATTTGTTTTTCTTACAGGAAATTCATCATTGATCGATCAATCAATGATCACATTATTAATATGCTGACAACCAAATCGGGTAATGATATAATGATAATCAGAGTGCTATATGGCAACATAAATAATTAATCAACATCACTGAGGTTCATATACCTGTCTCCAACGGGTTTGGTAAAGATTTGAAGAAGAGTGCCCTGATCATCTCTATCAACTAAAATGCCAAGCTCTTCACACTCCTTAATCTGCTCATCATTCAGAATATCACCAACCCTGCCCTTTAAATTTTTGTAATATGTTGGTGGAGGAGAAGGCATGAACTCAAAACCCCCAACTCCGCTCCTTTTCCTCATTTCACGCATTGTTCTGAATATGTCCTCACTTGCTAGAGCCAGATGCTGCACCCCTGGTCCTTCATTGTACTCCAGGTACGTCTGGATTTGACTCTTCCTCTTTGTCCCGAAAACAGGTTCATTAAGAGGCATCAGAACGGTCTCTTCGTTGTTCGCTAGCACCACAGAGTTCAGGCCGCTATCGGCTGTCCCCACGTCTTCCGCCGTGAATTCCGCGAATTCGTGAAATCCTGTGAATGACTTGAGGTAGTCAACAACTGGACCAAGCTCGTGGACGTTCCCGACGGCGTGGTCGAGTCTGCGGATTCCGTAATCGAGGTCCTGGAAAGACGCCGTCCCGTCCATGGGCTCAAAGCCAGGCAGGAACGTGACGGTGGTGGGGTCCTCTAGATAGCTGATGAATCGGAGCACGACGTCGCCATATAGGTGGACTTCGGCGAAGACGACTTGGCCGTTAATCGTCACCGGTTCCGAGACGGGTTTCGCGCCGCGGGAGACGCTGTTGGAAAAGGCGGTCCGCGCGTCCTCGACTACAAGGGCAACCGCTCGTACGCCGAGGCCATGCGCGGCGGTGAAGGAGCGGTGGGTGGATGCAGAGAAGGCGGGGATGGAGGCAGAGGAAGGTACGGACATGGAGGACGCGTACGGAGCAGTGAAGAGGAACTGAAGCTCGCCGGAGACGGAACGGAGGAGATAGGAAGCGTGAGCTGAGTTCCCGGTGGAGAGATCGGATTTCGCAACAATAGGCATTCCTAAGCCCCAAGAGAAGCGGCGGGCGGTGTTAGTGGCATCGCCGCACCAGAACTCCACATGGTGGAAGCGTTTGACAGAGAAATGGTCCGATTTGGGATTAACACGGACGAAATTGTTGAAACCGACCAATTTGAAGCCGCCGTTGTTCGCCGGCGATGAGTGGTGGTCAGCGGAGGAGGAAGTCGTTTTGGCCATTGGATAAACTCGGAAGTGGTGAAGCGAGGCAACTGGAGTGGACTTTTTAACTGAATGATTGAGTACGCAAAAGCGATAACTGAAAACTTGATCTTATCATCAAACCATCAAAAGAGAATTTTCCATTTTTGCCCCATAATAACACGGATTTGGATTTGCTGCTGAAAATAAAAAAGTGTGCCGGTTAACACCAGAAAGAATGGTGGTGACCGAAAACCGCGCGTATATAAGAAATAATTTTTCATGATCGAAAAGTAAAACTAAAAAGTGCAAAAATATTTTTATGTTCTTATAAAGGATTAAGTTTATCCACTTTAAATAAATTACTTGTGTCCAATTCTCCGTTTTATTATTTTTTACTCGGGGTATATCATAATTTAATATTGGTAGTATAAAAATTGTTTCAAAACTTTATTATATATTTATGATTCTTTCAGAAAAGTGTTAATATATGTGATGAATTGTAAAAAAATCATTACTTTTTTGTTTTCTTTACACTATAAAAATACATATTTTATTATTTTGTAAGATGATAAATAGTTCATGATTACAATATAGTGATTTTAATTTTAATAAGTTTAAACAAAACCAAACAATGTTGTTTCAGAAAATGTAACAATGTGTTCAAAATTTTATAACAAGACTAAAATTAATATTTGTGTATTTGAAGTGCTTCATTTATAAGGTAAAAATAATAATTTTGCAATTTAAAATTAAAGAGTTACTCCGTAATATTTTAACGTAAAAATAATTTTGTGGAAATGAGGTTGGTGTTCAATGAAAGGATTAGGTTTGTGTATCGCCCTTTTATTTTTGACTCTTAATTTTTTATCTTTTTATTTCAAAATTTAAATTTATATTTTTTTACATTATTTTATTTATTTAAAGCCAATAGGGATAAATTTGCATAATTTATAGGAACATTAGTGGTATTTTTACACATTTTTAAAAATTCAAGGATATATTTACACAATCAAATATAACTTTGGAGTAAGTTTGCACCTTTCCTAAAAAATAAACAATAAAAAATCTATTTTATTTTGACCTTATTGTGACATAATTAATTTTTCAATAGTTTTAAAAATCTTATTTAATTCCTATAATAATATGATCAAATAACATATGTCATTCAATAGAGTTTTATAGGATCCCGTTTAGTAAGGATGTTTTGAATGAACCTTATTTTTTTGTCTAGTGTGTTGTGGTTTGGTCTATTTTGAATTGGTATGATCTAGCCTAATGAATGTATATTCTATATATATTTGACAAATGCCGGAGTTTGGTATGGTATGTGATGGAGTATATGGCCCGGGGACCCCCGGCCCAAAGACTCCTACTTCTCCTACACAAGTCCATTGAGCCCAGAGAACAACTCGGGCCCAAATGCAACGGCCCAAGCCTTAAAACAGCTCAGAATACACACTAGGATGCCTTCGGCCTCCTTGGCCGAAGGCTCCAAAACTCACAGGATAGCCTTTTGGGCATAAGAAGCTGCTGGGAGAAAACGGGCGAAAACATGAGCCTTCGGCATTCTCACGCCCTCGGCATCAGAAAAGCCTTCGGTCACATGGGGCCCTCGGCTACACAAGGGGCCCTCGGCTACACAAGGGGCCCTCGGCTACACAAGGAGCCCTCGGCTACACAAGGAGCCCTCGGCTACACAAGGAGCCCTCGGCTACACAAGGAGCCTTCGGCTGAACTAGCTCAATCATCGAAGATTCCTTTTAGAGACAGCCAACCACCGCATTTAATGCCACGTCACATCCGCCAACCGCAATCAATGCGGTGGACGTACCACTGCCGGTGCCAACCGGCTGATGTGACCTTTCGGCCGTTGGATTACTGACACGTGTCCTCTCATCGCATTTATTGCTGCTATAAATAGCAGCCCATTTCTCCTTGTAAATCATCATCTACACCTCAACTCCACGCGCTGAGTTCATTTAATAAAATCGACTCTCTCTCCTCCTATTTACTCTGACT